AAACCATTTCCTCCATCTACAACGCCTACTTTTCATTCACCTGACTCTCTTCCAAGTCTCATTTAAATACTACCTCCACTACAGAGGTCTTCCTTCACAGACCACTGAGGCTGAAAGTGACCATCTCCCCACTCCACCCTACTGGATCCCACCCCCACTGGTTTCCCTCTCAATATCATTCTTCCAGTTACATGGCTCTTATCATTGATTTCCCAAACTCTATTGTATTTATACATTTATAATATCTACGAGAACATAAACTCTTAAAAGAAAGGCACAGCTTAGACCAGCAGGATTTGACATTGTTAATCAGATCATCAGACCACTCTCCTTGAAACTTTTTCCTCCCAGGGCTTCAGTGTTACTACACTTTCCTAATTCTCTTCCTAACCTTCTGATTGCTTTAATTCAGTCTCCCCTTCCTGTGCCCTTCCTCCATTCTAAGGATTCAGTACTCTAGATTCTGTCTCAAATTTCTTCTCGCCCTCTACAATCTCATCTACTTCCAACTTCAATTATGTGCTATACACAGATTATCAAATTGTTATTTCTAGCCTCAACTTCTCAATCATATTGCAGACCTACATTTATAGCTACCTATCTCACTGGATTTCTCAGACAAGGTATTTGGCCATCACATCAAGTTCAAAGTTTCCAAAAACAAAGCTGCCTGTCCATTCCAACTTGCAGCTTTCTCTCTCTGTGTCAGTGCCGTCACGATTCATCCTGCCAGTCACTAAATCTCAAAATCTCAGGTAACCTCATTCTTCTTAAAACCTCAGGTGACCTCATCCTCTTATATATTCCCTTTTCGTTTTAAACCATTCCCCTCATACCCCAAATTCAGTCATTTAGAAATACTGGGGATTTTTTTTTTTTTTTTTTTTTGAGACAGAGTGTCACTCTCTTGCCTGGGCTACAGTGCCATGGCGTCAGCCTAGCTCACAGCAACCTCAAACTCCTGGGCTCAAGCCATCCTCCTGCCTCAGCCTCCACAGCTGGGACCACAGGCACGCGCCACCATGCCTGGCTAATTTTTTCCATTTTTAGTTGTTTGGCTAATTTCTTTGCATTTTTAGCAGAGATGGGGTCTTGCTCTTGCTCAGGCTGGTCTTGAACTCCTGAGCTCCAGCAATCCTCCCGCCTCGGCCTCCCAGAGTGCTAGGATTACAGGCGTGAGCCACCACGGCTGGCCAATACTGGGGATTAAATCTCTGCAACATCTTTCCTATCATTTGCCTCCTTTCCATTCCTTTGACTTCTACCCATAGACTACAGCATTAAGAGCACAGACTGAAGTCAGATTCCCCAGGTTCAGATCCCAGCTCCATTAGTCAGGTAGCTTTGGACCAGTTTCTAAACCCCTGGGCCTCGCTTTCCTCATCACTAAAATTGGAATGATTAATAGTTTCCACCTCATAAGGCTGTCAAGAGGATTAAAATTAGATAATATGTACAAAGTGCTTGACACACAGTAAGGGCTCAATAAATATTAGCAGCTTTATTATCATTTTCCCCCTACCTCAAGCCCTCATCATCTCTTGCTCAGACTCCTGCAATAACATCCCAAACTGGCCTCTCTGCTAGCAGTCTCTCTTAACCACGATGTTACTTAATGTTCTCACAATCTTCCTACATGGATCAGAGTCAGATCTTATGTAGGATTTTGACAGCAAGATCTGTTGGGATATACAAAGAACTTTAACAAGGCATATTTATAACAGCAAAAGATTTTATATAATGAAACTAAAGAGTATGAAAAGGGGAACAATATTTGATAAGGTTGAAATGATAAACTAACACTAGGAAGGAGGCCTTGAATTCAGTGTTAAGAATTCTAAATTCAAGAATTTAGTAAGGAAGAGTATTAGAAGAGGTTTTGCACCTACCATTTCCCCAGAGGATTTAAGGGAACAGAACATTTAAGGCAAACTCAGTAATACTGCTTAAATAGGATAAGTTCTTCAAATACAGTAGTAGAAAAGGCACAGTTTTTAACTTCCTCCTCTTTTGCAATTTACTTAGAGAATCTGTTTATTGTTTCAAATTTATCTATGCAAACTTACTCTTCATTTAATCAAAACTGTATCTGCATTCTTCCACAAAATAAAGTATGAAGATTTGAGCTATTTGGAATATTAGTGTAAAGAGAAAAAAGTGATTCAAAGCTCCTTATGTTAAGACTTCAAATTAAGTAAATATTCCATATCTGCTTTCTAGGTATTACAATGCTAATGCTTTATCCATTTTTTATAGTTCAACTACTTCATTTTATGCCCACAATTTATTTCTAGCTGTCATTTTAAATTACTTTCCCAACATAAGGGAAAACTGACTGTTTTTTTAATATGTCAGAAGTTATAAAGTTTCTGACAGAAAAACACTAAATCAGTACCTGAAGACTGTCATTGTAAAAGGAGTGATTTTAGTAAATCATACTTGAGAGTTGGGCTAATTTTTTGAATAACTGAATACAATTAAGTAATACCTTTCAAATACGTTGTCTATTGACCTTTTCTGCAAACAGTATCTGCAGCCAATGAAGAATATTTACATCAAAAAAATAAAATCTTACTTTTTTCTATTCATTCCATATAAATTTATGTTTTGAAAGACTGATGATAAAGAATAAACAAAATGTACAAACATATTCTTAATAATGTATTAATTTTTTGTTACTAAGTCACTCTCAAGTTCTTCTAAACTTGTTTTTCATCCCATTTTGAATATGGTCTTTTTATCCACTCCAACTGCTGCCAAGGCAAATGGAACTAAGTACCAACAACAGTCATACAAACCATCTGACAGTGAGTTAAGATCTGCACAATCTACAAAGAAAAAATAGTATTAGACTTCAAAATGTACTATGTGCACATTTTTCACACTTGCAGATAAAAGGATTACTCTGCAGAATGGTGCAGAGTAATAAGCAAAGATTTCAGAATCAGAAAGACCTGAGCTGGCATGCAGAATACCACTTGCCAGATGTTTAATCTTGTGCAAATTAATCTTTCTGAGCCTGTTCTCTCACCTGCAAAATGAGAATATTATCTACAAGGCTGCTGGAGGAGTAAATGAAGTAATGTATTTGGAGTGTTTGGTATCTAACAGGAATGTCCAGCCTCCACCAATATTTTACCCCTTGGAGTCACCTCAAATCAAAACACATTTCTGCCTCTTACTAACACTAACAGTGTGATAGTAGTAAAGTTCTTTAACCTCTCTGTGCACTGGCATTTTTTAAAAATGGGGAACACACTACGTACATCAGTTGTTGTGAACCCCTAATGTACAACTTAATGCAAAGCATCCATCCAGCAGAGTGCCCGGCAGATGTCAGATTTCACTGATGCTAGATTCTCTTCACTTCCTTTCTTATTAAAGTGTGTTAAATGTATTTATCAAGTGGTCCAGAATCTAGTAACCTACCTGACACATATCCAGAAAGTAGGCCATTTTCTGGTCAAAAACCTCTGTGAACACATAGCAAAATTTTGACATCTGTACTATAAGTAATCTCTCAGTGTCAGATGGAAAGAAAATATTTCTTATTCCTTCTGCCTTCCATTTTGTACACACTATTTTTCCACATAAGTTACTATATAAATTTCCCTCTTTCCAAAATAAATAGCCTTCATTTACTCTCCACATAGATATTAGCTTCAGTATGCTGCTTAAATTAAAAGCAGAATACATCTACTCTCACTGCTTATATCAGTGATGCCAGAAATTTTAAAGGCAGTAACATGAATCTTAAATTCAGCTGATTTCAAAAAAAAAAAACAGCAGTAACACTTTGTGCTTCTTCCTATGTGTTACGCTAGACATTTTCCAATAAATATTTAAAATTTAAATCATTTCAAAAGGATTTATATTTATTTCTAATGCCAGTTCAATATCAAAGCATGAGAATTCAAATAAAATTAAGGCTGTCATAAACATAAAATCACATCAATGTGAAGTTTCCCCAAAAATCTAATTCAAATAATTTTCCAAACACTGAGATTCATCTGCTATTTAACTGAGATGTGCAAGTCCTGAAAATACTCAGCTGTGTGTAAGTTTAAGCAGTAAAACCGAACTAAACCATTTACCAACATATTTTCACAGTCCAAAAATTAGAAATCAGCCATCATCCACTAAAACCTGTATCTAACATCCAGAGAAGTTTGTAAATACTAAAGGAACTTTTCAACAAATATTTTATGTACCTAAAATTCATGAACTAGGGAATAGAAATCTCGCAAAATTACTCTTAAAAGTTAACAGACTAAATTACTTTACAGGAGCATCTTCCAATAAAAAGCCTCTCTCTACTTTTTTTTTAGCATTCCACAACAAGGGCTCCTAAAAGCGACAGCTCAGAAACTACAACAGGAGGCCCTTTTCCTGTTATTTTGCAAAGACTAGGTTATGCAGTGAGCGTTTAGTTGCTACTGTACTATACAATTTATGTGAATAGCACATGCCCTCAAAAAACTCCTCTATCGAAAAAAGAATTCCCAAAGTAGGGAGTTTTTTTCTCTTAATTTATGAAGCCAAAATATATTTGGGAAAAAGAATATGCCTCAGTGATAATATGAAATGAAAATACATCAGTTTGCCTACAGTCGGCAAACTAAACATTGGTTTTAAATAACCGATTTAATAAGAACCTGAAATGTGTGTGGAGGACAGATAGACTTTAAAAATGACAACAAAATTTAACAGTGCACTCGACACAGGCCACCTTACATCCTTCGGAGCATGAATAGCAGCCATCACTACCAATGTCAAAATCAATACAGTACTATGTACCATCCACCTTCTTCCAACAATGAAGAAACCAACTCAGGTTTCTTGGTGGTGTATTCACAGTTATGACCGAGGGGGAAATGTATGCAAGCACAATAAGGTACATGCCACAAATTAAAGCCATTCTATGTAAAAACACGACAAAACTGCTCACTGAAAACAAAACACTTTCGCTATCCAATAAAAGGAACCTGGCCAAACCCCACTTGACCACTCAAGAGCCCTTCACTGAAGACCAAACCTGCTTTCGTTATTTCTCCTTTCTTTCTCCTCTTCCTAGTCTCCCACCGTCTCCCTGAACCTGTACGAGAACACAGGCACGGAGAGGGATTCGAGAATCGGGAACAAAAACCGGGATGTAGACATCATCAGCAGGAAGAGGGGAGGGAAGGGAAGACACCACTAACCTGTCCCAAAGGCTTTGGCCACCAGCCAGGCCAGATTACAGGCGATTTTGGCCCTGGAGAAGTCATAGTGGTCGAAGGGCTTGATGGCTGGAACAATGAACGTCTTTCTCATCTCCCTGGGGTCTGCAGCATCCCCCATCTTTCACGGCGGCTCCTCGGGATGTCCCGGCTCTAACCTTCACATGGTGTGGCCTCGCCGCCGCGGGGGTCGGGAGGGGAGGACGGGCGAGCTCAAAGCATCGGGGCCGGGGCGAGGCCAGCCCGGGCGCCGCCGGCGGGGAGCAGCTCAGCTGTGCGCGCCGCGAGCCTGCCGCCTCCCGCGGGAGCCGCCGCCGCTCCCGGACATAGGAATGTGGCGGCGCCGCGTCCGTCCGTCCGTCCGTCCGCGCGGGCGCCCCTCCGCGCCACCCGCCCCGCGAGCGCGCGTGAGAGCGAGGCCGCCTCCCCTTTGTCTCCGTTTAGTCACACGGGCTTGGGGGAGGGTGGAGGCTGGAAGGGCCCGGAATTTTAAGGGGGGGGTGGTGGGGCGAGTCTGTAACAATCACGTTGTGGAAAATGTCCCCGCCATCGCGATGCCCGCACGCCCTCGCCTCCCCTTCCCTTCCCTCGGGCCGCGAAGACCCCTCAGGCCCCGGGCGGGCGGAGGGACGAGCAGGACGAGCGGGCGCGCGGCGCGGGGGTGGCCCAGTCAGCGCAGCGCGGCCGGGGGCCGCGGGCGACGAGGCGCAGGAAAACGTCAAAATCACTGCGGCTCCCAGGCCGCCGGCGGCCCGTCCCCTCCTCTGCGGTCCCCTCCCGTCGCCGCCTCCTCCTTCCCCTGCCGCCCTCGCTGCCGCCGCCTCCGGGTCTTCCTCCCGCTGACGGCGAAGGTGGTGGCCCGGCAGAGGCTGCTGATCCCAAGCTCTCAGGTCCTGCCTTGCAGTACGTCCTTGTATGTTTTTTCTGCCCCCTTTTGCTGCCGGCTCCGTCGCTCCCCCTCAGCCGCCGCCGCCGCCGCGGTTTTCCGGCTGCGGCACTGGATGGAGAGCAGATGCGGGCACTGAGCATGCGCGCTCGCGCGGCTCCGGAGCCCTCCCGCCCCCGCCCCGCTTCGCTCCCGCCTCCCGCCGCCCGGCCCACTGAGCATGCCCAGTCCCGCTCCCGGCCCGCGCCCCGGTCCGGTGCGGCTGCTTCTTAATCATCGCTGTGGAGTGCTCGCCTGAGTGGACATCCTCCGCGTCCGCGGCTTTTGGCCGCCGCTGCTTACGCTGCTGAAAGAGGAAAGGGAAGGGAGGCGCGAGAGGGAGGCCTGGCGGTAGCTTCCATAGTTACGGTGGTTTAGCAGAGAACTGAGATTTATTAAAAATGCTTATTAGGTGACACACACTTTGCTGCGAACTTGACCTGCACAATCCTATTTAGTCCTTGAAGTGACCCTGAGGGGTGGGTGTTATCGCTGATCGACCATGAAATTTTAGAGAGGGGAAGTGAGTTAAGTCATCCATGGAGCTTCACCGCGGTTGAGGATCTGTGGGGCTCCAGACCTGTATTTCATGATGTCAAGATACTTTCTTAACTTGATGCTCGCCACTTAATCTCTAAGTGACGGCGCACATCCATCCATGCCTCTCGGTTTCCTCAGAAAAAGGCACAAATGCTTTCACAAAGCAAACTGACACCCTCCGTGTTGTGGCATCTACAAACCTTTAAAATAGCTTCTTGTCTCAGCTGCTCTCTGTTTTCCCGCATGGGCGTGCTTTCTCAGGTCTCTTCGCCTTCGCTCTGGGCGGTTGCTCTGCCCACCAGCTTACTCTTCCTGCTCCACCTTCAAGTATCTTCATAGTAGTCACCCCCTCCAGGAAGCTTTCCCTGATTGCTGACAACGTCCCAGTCAGGGCTGTCACGTAGGTGCCTCCCTTATTGTTCCCATAGCACCCTGTTCTTATTTCTGTCATAGCACTTGTCACACTGTATGGCAATCATCAGTTACTTGTCTGTTTTTCCCATTGATGACATGATGCCATACTTTCAGCACCTGAATGATGTCCAGCACCATAGTATTTGCTGAATTAATGTTTAGGGACTAAGGGTGAATATTATTGCAGTTAACACTAATTGAGCTTACTTAACTCACTAAATCCTCATAACATCTCATTTTAATACATTATCTGATTTTAACCAGTATAAAATCCTGTGTTATCTTCATTTTACGGATGAAAGAACTAAGGCTCAGAAAAAATGTTTACTCCATTTCCAGTAAAGGCAGACCCAAAATTTGAACCCAGAACTATCTTACTCCAAAGCCCATGCTTTGAACCGCTAGGCCCTCCCTTAACATAGAAGCAAGACCTGAGGCATAGGGGAGGCGAAGGGGCTTTGGACCCTGTTATCCAAAAGGACAGTTCCTAGCAATCAGGCCCCGTTGTTTCTGTTTAATTCCTACAAACACTCCTCTCTAAACCTAGGAGGGCACTACAGGTAAGCCTTGCTAACAATGTGGGATAGGAAAAGAATGTGAGTGAGAATAACAATATGCCAGTGGTTGATGTAATTTTTTCAATAATTTAATTAATATTACTAAAGGTTTTCTCATAGGCGAGGCCCTTTGCTAGATCATATACGGGATAATACAGATATATATATATATAGATAATAGTTCACAAAGCGCATTCATATGATAACTAATTTCTACATCTATTTTAAAACAGGCATTATTATCTTCCAATTCTAAATGCAGGACTGAGGATAGTAGAGATTAAGTGGCTTGGCCAAGATTTCGTGGTTGATTCATGGCTTCAAATTCAAGCATAGGTCGTCTGGCTCCACTCCCCTGGCGCCTTTCCCTGTGCCTGCTCCCTTTCTGGATGATGGAGGCTGACGTGTACATAAATAAATGTAATGCAATGTAAAAAGTGCTGTGAGAGATATAAAGTGCAAAGAAAACATATAGGTGGAGGGATCAGGAAGGTTTCTTGGAGACTTCTGTTAAATCCGATGTTCTCAAATTCAACTTCAACTGAATCTAGAGCATGCATATCAAATGAAGAGAAACCTATAACCTAGAAAGGTTGAAGAGAGATACTGAAACATTTTGCCAGTCATTATAATAATCTGCAAGTCAATACAAGATTCTCAAGACCGGAAATCATGTCTAATCACTTTTATTTTGCATGTGACCTAGCACAGTAATGGTTTGCTCACCATGGGTGCTGAGTAAATGTTTGTTGAATTTCACTGAAAACTATTTCAGCCTAAATAAACAAGATGAGGAAGCGAAGAAAACAAAGAAAGTTGCTCCAACTTGTCTTTTAATCGGTGGTGATGGATTTAGTAGGGATGGCATTACTAGGACTCCAACTAGGAAGGAGTGTGTTTAGGAATGGAAAAAAAAAATGCCTAAACAATGAGCAGCTTTTACTTTCAGGGAGGCTGTGAAACAACTTGGGGTCATAGTAGGAGGCTATTATTAACAGGAAAACACCCTGAATACAAAGAAGGAGGATTCATTTTCAGGGAGACAGACACTCTAATAGGGTGTTCTTTGTGTCACCTTCAGAATGATCCTTTTAAAAACTGGAAATCTCTGCAGAATATCACTGTCAAAAAGAAATGCTCTCCAGCGCCTCCTTAAGATACCTGACTTTGTTCAAAACAAAAACAAAAACAAAACCCAGTGGTTCCTTGGGCCAGCTTGTCCAACTGCACTGCTATCCCTGTGCTTTTTATCCAGGCCTAGAGTCTCAGGTCGTCGGGCAACAGGTACTCTTATTCCCACATACACAACCCTCCTTTCTATTTCGAAAGCGTTTCTCTCTTTTCTCCTAGAACATCCAAAATGCCAGCCAGACGACCTTCCTCACTGCTCTGTTTCTCTGCCTTTGGATAGATCCACAAGTTCATTCATTCACTCATTCATCAGCCAGCGCTGCTAGAGCACCTGGGCTCTGAGGATGTCATGTTAAACAGACAGCTGAGGAAGCAGATGTTTAGTGAGAAAACTTGGAAATCGTATGGCCTGAGCAGCCCAGCTCTCCTTCATCATCTGTCCATAACTCCGCAGGTCAGAAGCCTTGTGACTTCACCTATAGAAATCTTCAGTGTGTCCCCTCAGAAGCAAAGAAATACTAAAATGGTGAGCACTGTCTCATCGTGTTTTCTTAAATAGAGGCATATATATGAGACAGAGTCTCGTTCTGTTGCCCGGACTGGAGTGCGCTGGAGTCAGCCTAGCTCACAGCAGCCTCAAACTCCTGGGCTCAGGTGATCCTCCTGCCTCCTGCCTCCCTGTAGCTGGGACTACAGGCGTGCACCACCAAGCCCAGCTAATTTTTTCTATTTTTTAGTAGAGATGGGGTCTCACTCTTGCTCAGGCTGGTTTCAAACTCCTGACCTCAAATGATTCTCCTGCCTCGGCTTCCTAGAACGCTAGGATTACAGGCATGAGCCACCGCACCCGGCCCACAGTTCTATTATTATCCTCATCTAACAAATGGAGAAATCAAGGTGCAGAGGACTTAATTAAGTGAAGACCTTGTTATTTTGAAATTCAAGGAACTAGAGCCAGGCATGGCGGCTTGTGCCTGTAGTCCCAGCTACTTGGGAGGCTGAGGTGGGAGGATCATTTGAGCCTATCCCCCTTCCCTCAGCCCTCCTCCCTGTCTCTAAAAAAAAAAGGAACTAGAATAAGTAAACTCTGTATTAACCAGGTTAAGAACAACCAAGGGGCGGGTGAAGAGGGAATGGGAGAGAGAGAATGCTTAGCTAACTGATGACAATAAAAGGTTTAATTGGTGGAGCATAGCAGCCTGTAATAAACCAATATGAGATAGAAGAGTCTGTGCTGTGTATCTGACAGTCTATCATTTCTAGATACAGTTGTGGCTTTCATCCGAGTAGCTGACAGAATTTTATAAGGATTACTTCATCAGCCTTCACAGCAATTCTAGCGAGGCCTGTGTGTATGATGCCAAGTGTGTGGCTGGAAAGACTGAAACACGGGGAGGCCACATAACTTCCAGAGTCACACTGTGAGTCAGTGTCTGAACTAAACAGAGAAACCTGGCCCTCAGCTTCCCAGGTAGAGCACCATACTTTCCTAGATTCCTAAAACATTTTTCCTTTATTAATTCCCTACTCAAACCAAGCTCCCTTAGCCACCAA